GCTTCTCGCCCCCCCCCAGCACCCCCCCTGCTGCCCTGCCCCAGGCATCCCCAAGTCAGCCGCTGCTGAAACTGACCAGTGGCTGACTACAGGAAGCCTCTGCCCCGGGCTTCCTGGAATCAGCTGCTGATCAGTTTCAGCAGCAGCTGACTTGGGGACGCCTGGGTTTCTTAAGTTGAATCTGTATGTAAGTCAGAACTGGCCTCCAGATTCAGCCACTGTTGAAACTGATCAGTTTCAGCAGCGGCTGAATCTGGACGCCAGTTCCGACTTACATACAGATTCAACTTAGGGACTGTAGGTTTGTTGTTATCTTGTACATAACCCGGGGACTGCCTGTACATGGAATTTTAAGCCTCAGAACTAAATTCACTATAGGGGAAAAAACAAGTCCTCCTCTAACTGCACAGAAGCCCAGATGTTTGTTAGTGAATCAAATCTAGTTGAAATATTTTCCTAAGCCTTGTAGACTCTGCGCTATATAATATAAAATAAAGGAAAATCCCATCTTTAGAAGACATCAAAACCAATCAGCAGGTGTACCATCCAATTTAGAAAATGGGTCAAACAGAAACTTTGCTTTCAAAGGAGGTTATTTTACAAATTAATAATTGTGAGGACTCTGGCTCAGGAAGCTAATGCCCTAGCCTACTTGCAAATTCACCTAGGTCACAATTAAATGAGTTGAATGTAGGATCTTAAGTAGTACATATTAAAGTTTCCCATAATCACAAAAGTGTCACATAATTGGTCATATATAGCCCCAGACAGGTATATAGATTTTGATTAAAAGATAATTAAAAGATAATGGATCAAATAGATAAGAAATCTCTGCTCAGGAGAAACCCAGGTGAGAGAGGGAGGGAGTGGGGTGCCAGAGGCAGGCTCTGAGCAGAAGAGGCTTACCTGAGTGACTCCTGTCCAGCAGCCCAGCAGGTTTTTCATCCAGGCTCCATGCCTTCCATGCCCCTGCATGCTGCTCGTAGCATCTGTGGGGGCCATGCGTGCCTCTACATTCCACGAACCCAGAGGGGGAAGGGTACTTTGCGAGCTTCCTATCTTGCCAACAGGCAGCTCTCATTGGCTGGTCTCCAGTGGGAGCTGTGAGATTGTGCTGGGGATGGTGACCATGCGCAAAGCCTCTCCCCACCCTCTGCCTAGGCTCACAGCATTGAGAGACATACACATGGCCCCTGCAGTGGCTGCTCTGATGAGTGTGAGGGAGTGCGGCAGGGAGAGAGCTTGGCTGAGGCCCCCTGTATACGGGGGCTGGATCCAGTGGCTTGGTGGGCTGAATCCAGCCCAAAGGCTGTATTTCCCCCTCTCCCCCCGATAAAAATAGCAATACAGAGGCTAAGGCTGCACAGACATTTAGACTATGCAAGTTCATGAGTTTGCATGGTGCATGTTCAAACCTCTATTTAAAACAAATCTTTAAAATTGCCACTGTGGGAGCTGCCTTAGCTAACAGACTGAGAAGTTTTTGCAGATGTCCTCTACCATGGTTTGCTGGGCCCTGTTGGTCCTCAAGTGTGCACTGTATTCTGAATCAAACTTTCCAGCATCTGATCTCTTGCTCCATTCCTACTTTTTCAGGTACCTCCATCAGGAAGTCAGAAGGAGGACAGAGAGAGAAAGCACCATGTCTTCAATTGCAGCTTACTACAATGGAAAGACCGTACTCATCACAGGAGCCACAGGCTTCATGGGAAAAGTACTGATAGAAAAGCTGCTGCGCTCCAGCCCTGATGTGGAAGCTGTATATATCCTTGTGAGGCCAAAGGCAGGACAATCAATGCAAGAGAGAGTGGCAAATATGGTGAAATCCAAGGTAAATTGCTGTTTTTTATAGAAGAATCTAAACTGAAACCCACAGGACATTTAAATGTGTACAGTAAATGACTATATTACATTTTACCTGCCGAGGACAATATCACTCTCACTACAAATCCACATAGGTTTAAAATAGAAAAGATAAGCTGCACACAGCACACTTTAACCTTATAAAGGGTTTGAAAACTCTATAGTTATTTCTTGATTTTCATACAGTAAATAATAACTTCCATAAATGTGGTGAGGCATCTGTGAAATCACCATAATCACAATGCAAAGTTGGTGCATCCATAACAGATTTCAGTGGCATTTAACAAATGTCGTCATTGCAAATATGGCAACATTTACCAGCCATTAACTAATTCTTCGCCCCCCCACCCCTGAAAACGAAACATTGGTCAAACATAAATGAACTTTAAAGTAACCTCCCATGGGATCCCACCGCCCTACTCAGGGCATCCGAACCACCACAACAGCTAACGATTATGACACACAGTCTGGCAGCACTTTATAGACTAACAAAACATGTAGATGGGATCATGAGCTTTCGTGGGCACAGCCCACTTCTTCAGATGACTTGTTTTCTCACAACAGTAAAGTTGATAACCCCATGGGAGTGGCTTGTAGTCTATTCAACTCCCATTGTCCATCAGTGCCAATTATAGGATCATCTTCAATTATGAAACATTAAACATACTGTGAAAAATTAGTGTACAGAAAGTACATTGAGGCTACCAGTAGCAACCAGAAGAGAATTTAGAGTATCTAAAACTCTGTCCTGGGGAAAAACTAACTAAAGGATGCTATTTGATGTCCCACTAGAGGTCTCCAGGGAGTTCAAGGCATAAGAAACAGAGCCAGGAGGAGGAAGGGATTCCGTAAATTATTTTTTCTTTGCTATTTCCTTATCGCCTTGCATTTTTCCATGATTTTGCCTTCAGTGAATGTAATTTTCCACATATTTCGATGGCTTTCTTTATTGACAACTGCAGCTAAGTTTTTCATCATAAGACAACAAAAGCCCAGATGCAGTCCTTTCCCACAAAAGAAAGTGAAGGATATCATTGTTACAAGACTTCTAAAAGCTCTGTTTGTATTTTCTGTGATAAACACTAATGACCCATTCATTCAATAGCTCAGCAGAGCATACTGTTGTTAGCACTCAGTAAGGTACCCTGGTAGTTATTTTATTGTTACAGCTGTCAGTTACTAGGTATTTCTCTCCTTTTGTAATGTGTCAGTAGTTTTAGACACATTGGCAGCATGGAGGACTTGATAACTTCTCCTGGAATATTATGGCTAGGGCTTGACAAATTATACAATCTACTCGCCTGCTCCCACATGGCGGCCTGGCTGAGCAGCGCAGAAGTCAGCTGAGCGCCACGGCAGGAGGCGAAGGGGGGCAGGGCGATGATGTTCATGGCCGGGGGCGGGGGCCTGGAGCCGCTGTCATGCCGTATGTCACCGCCCCGCCCCTCTCCGCCTCCCACCGTGGCGCTCTGCTGACTTCTGCGCCGCTCAGCCAGGCAGCCTCTGGGGAGCAAGCGGCCGTTTGGGCCCCGCACTCCCCATGCAGCACAGGCCGCCTAGAGGGAACAGCCAGCATTTCAGCAACAGTGCCCCCAGAGGGAACAGCCAGCATTTCAGCAACAGTGCCCCCAGAGGGAACAGCCAGCATTTCAGCAACAGTGCCCCCAGAGGGAACAGCCAGCATTTCAGCAACAGTGCCCCCAGAGGGAACAGCCAGCTGTTCAAACAGCACCCCCCAGAGGGAACAGCCAGCATTTCAGTGTTGCAGACTCTCAGACACTGGGCTACTATATATATGATCCTTCACTGGGCTCCAAAGGAGTAAATGTTAAAGAAAATGGGTGGATAAGTTTCCAGAAATTAGTGTGATGCTCAGGGATCAGACAGATAGAAGGTCAGAACAGATGAGTAGTCAGATATCACACAAGAGGTCCAGTATCCAGGAGATCTGATCCAAGGGAAAAGTACAGCAAGGCTGATGGTGTGCTTGGTGAGATAGCAAAGCAGAATTTAAGTAAGGGGTAGGATTGAATCAGGTGAGGTGGCACAGCAGAATCATGCAAGACCCAAGTACCAAGCAATGGCTTGTTCTTCGGGCAAGTTCAGGAAGGAAGCAGGAAGGGTGTATATATAGCCACCACTACTAGTAACCACCGGAATAATGCTGAGCATGAGCAGTGGATGAAACTGTTGCTGGGGATGCAAGCTCCCTAGCCTGTGCCCCCACATTCTTCACCCTTGCTCTGCCCACACACCCCCTTCCCTCCCACTTTTTCTCTCTTCTCACCTATTCCAGCCATGTCCTTGAACCCTGATGTAGCAAATGACATTTGGAAAAAAACAATCTACTAAAATGTCTTTCTAAAGAAAATGAAGCATGTTTTCCTCTGCATGCCAGACTGTGAAGTATGGACATGCAGAAAGGTACCTAATTAAAAGCACTAAATTTGGAATAAAAAAAGTCAGATTTTGTAATACAGGCAGTCCTCGACTTTACGAACGGGGCTTCCCCGGAGGACACGGACTGCGGGACCTTGCGGTCCTGCCGCCCGTGTACTCCGGGGCTTTCTCCGCGTCTCCCTGGTCTGCAGACCAGGAAGACGCGGAGCAAAGCTGCGGGGGGGGCTCAGGCAGCCCAGGCGCGCCTGGGCTGTTCCGCTGCCGGCTTCCCCGCAGCTTTGCAAAGCCTCGGGGAAGCCGGCAGCGGAGCAGCCCAGGCGCGCCTGGGCTGCCTCGCTGCCCGCGCCCCCCCGCAGCTTTGCTCCGCCTCCTCCTCTG